AAAACTCGACTCGCGTCCATCCATAGAGAGTTGGAGGAAAGCAACGAGTAAACAAACTCTTAGGAAAATCCTGTGGTTCTCTGATTCAAACAAAAAATAACGAATTGCTGAATATTTACAAAATTTAACGCTTCGAAATAATTGGCGATTTGAGTCTAGTATTTTTTGATGATTGTGGAAAGTCAAAGGGGGGATTGGAGGCATGTAAAAATTCACTTTGCATAGTTGAGGAAAGCTCTGTCGGAATTTATTAAATATTGCATAATTTTCATGAAATTATGGTATGCTGGTAAGTCTGCAATGAATTCCTGTTGATGTTCGACAAATTCTTTACCCTCGCTTACTCGTCCGGTAAACATACCGATAGTAATAAAACGATAATTTAATCGGAATGTTTGAAAAGATGAAAAATGTGATATATTCTGTCGTTGCATGATGTGATTCGGATTTCGCATCCCACAACAGGCGTGTAATCTGTGGGGTCGTTAGGCTGATGTGTATTAATGGATTAATGCAGTATTGAACTGTCAACACTCACCTCAGCCATCATCCAATAGCGACAGTATATCGATTGAGCGCCATTTTGATATACACTCTAAAATATCCAGGAGATTATCATTCACTGTCAATATTCCCATTACGAACCGTCATTAACAAATTAGCCGGCTTTGAAAAATCGCCTGAGGATGGCCGAGAATCGGCCAAAACGTCGAGCGCAGTTCCGCGCCGCGGCGTGCGCTCAAATTTTCATAAACACTTGCATATTGGACTATAAATAAATAAATTTTAGGACAAACAACCAAGATGGAACTTGGTAATTTATGCTCGCAATATCAATGTCGGTAATTTTTCCGAATCCTCCCTTAAATTGCGCTACGAAATCCCCCTGTAATTTCAAGCAACGGGAAAGATGACTTTATCGTGCAATATCCTAACAGCAGACATCTACACCGTCGAGTAATGGTGCGAAAATAACAAAAAATAACTAATAATTTATGCGATGTCGCCTGGAAGCCACGATATTGTTTCACCCTCTGTTTCTTATACCAATTCGCAAGCGCTAAAATAAATTTCAAATCAGTTTAATCCCACGAGAGATTATTTCGCGAAATTACGCGAAATTTTTTAAACCACGCCACTGAGCGCACTGTCGAAACTAATTAAAATAACTCACTGTATTATCGACAGCGCATACGGATTATAAAACGATTGCAAATTGCAAATTGATTTATTAACTATTAAATTTACATAACTAACTGAATTATATCACGACTTTCATATGAATCGATAGTCTGCAATAAAATCTAATCTTCGCTAAGCATCTAATTACCATTTCATACTTCCACTTCTCTTCCTTCAAACATATCTTAGCTACGAGGAAGTACACATTTTTTTTCAAAAAATTGTTAAAACATCTTTATTCCGGTTTTTGAAACTATCCTTACATTCTCTATCTGGCCATTGGTTAGTAAGATATCGATGATCAAAGACAAAAAGATCCTTTTTTATTAAATGTCAAATATCTCAGTGACAAATTGACATAAAGAGAACATAAAAAAGCAAAATGAAGCTGAATGAAAAAGCTAGCCGGTCCATGCATTGATTTAAGTAATAAAAATTTCTCCAAGTCTGTGGACTAAAAAAAAGAACAAAAAAATTCATTTTTTTTTCTAGCGTATTTCTTATGATTGTGTAATAACCGTAGCTCAGAAAATTTTTTGCCAAAAGATCTCAAGACTAGAAACTTGAAGCTATAAAACGTTTTTTTTTAAATCTAAATACGATTATTTTTCATTGAGGTACAGTCTTTCAAAAATCACCAAAAAATGTAAGAACTTTGTTGTTTTCTTATTTTTTTGGAATAGTATATGAAAAGATTATGTAGAATGTTTTGTTGTTTTGACGTATTTGAGATAATAAGATTTTTTTTTCACTGAATTCACTGAATTTTGAATTAATTTGAATAAAGGAAAAACAAAATAGAATAACATAAACAATGAATTTGATCTATCTTCTCGAAGAGGAAAATAGAATAATAGAAAATTTAAGACATCTTTGAATTAAAAGTGATTTTAAAGAATGCAAGGTTACTAAAAAAAAAGATGTCGAGAAATACGAAGTTACAAACAATATTAATAATTATTCTTATTTTTTTATCTTAACCAAGAGTATATTATTTTTATTGGGTCACTTTTTTCTCATTTTTTTAATCAATATTGAGAGTGAAAAAATTTTTGTTCAAAAAATCGTAAAAACATCTTGTAGGAAATATATTCCTGTTTTTGAAACTCTATGTGGTTATTGGTTGATGAAATGATCAAAGACAAAACGATCCTTTTTGATTAAAAGTCAAACATCTCAGCGACAAAATAAGGTAAAGAGAACATAAAAAAGGCAAATTGAAGCTGAATGAAGAAATGTCCAGCCCATGCATTAAACTAAATCTGTGGACCAAAAAAAAAGAATATAGATTTTTAATTTTTTTAGCGCTGTTTTTTAAGATTGCGTCATAACCATAGCTCAGAATTTTTTTTGCGAAAGATCGACTGGAAACTTGAAATTTCAAAACCATTTTTTTAAACCTAAAATTCGACCATTTTTCATTGAGGTACAGGACAGTCTTTCAAAATTACCAAAAAATTTCAGAACTTTTTTGTTTCCTTAATTTTTTGGAATAGTATATAAAAAGAATATGTAGAATGTTTAGTTGTTTTGAAGTATTTGAGATAATAAGATGTTTTTTTACTGAAAAGCTGATTTTAGAATTAATTTGAAAAAAATGGAAAAACAAAATAGAATAACCTAAACAATGTATTTAATCCGTTTTCTCGAAGAGGAAAATAGAATAATAGAAAAATTAAGACATTTTTGAAACATCTCAGCGACAAAATGAGGTAAAATGAACATAAAAATAGCAAATTGAAGCTGAATGAACAAGCTATCTGACCCATGCATTGGTCAACTAATAAAAATTCTACGTACCAAAAAAAAATAAAGAATAAAAAATCTACAAATTTATTTATCGTGCTATTTCTTAGGATTGCGTAATAATCGTAGCTCAGAATTTTTTTTGTCTTAAGATCTCAAGACTAGAAACTTATAACTTCTAAAAGTTTTCTTTTAATCTAAAAACGAGCATTTTTCATTGAGATACAGTCTTTCAAAAATCACCAAAAAATGTAAGAAATTTTTTGTTTCATTAATTTTTTGGAATAGTATGTAAGAAGTTTATGTGTAATTTTTTGTTGTTTTGAAGTATTTGAGATAATAAGACATTTTTTCAAGGAGTTTTTCACTGAAAAGCTGAATTTTGTAATAATTTTAAAAAAGGAAAAACAAAATAGAATAACATAAGTAATGAATTTGATCCATTTTCTCGAAGAAGAAAACAGAATTACTGAATTAAAAGCGAATTTAAAGAATGCAAGGTTATTAAAAAACAGATTAGAATAAACACGAAATTACAAACATTATTAATAGTTATTATTTTTTTTTTTATCTTAACCAAAAGTGCCCCACACTTATTAAAAAATTTCACCTATGTAGTCGGTGCTAATTCCTGGTTCAGGAATGGAACATGGAGCGGAAAAAATGTTTAGGTTTGGCGTGATTGCTTGGTGGAATAAAAGTTAACGGAGGAAATTTTAACGGCTTAGGAATAACTTGATGTCAACAGTAGTGCAATTTAGTTATATAGCTTCCTGTCCTGTGAGAGTGTAGCATTTGAAATGTCACGTCAAGTATTGCAAAGGAAATGAGGTTTTTGAATGTTTGGGAGTGTTTGCATCGTTTTGCAAAATAGGTGGTATTTGGTGGCTTCGGTAATGAGAAGGTCGCGTCTATAATAAAGCATTGGAGTTGCATTGAGCGTCTGTTTGATAAGTTATGCTTCATAAACATCGTTTCGTACTGTTATTATTGATTGATTGATCGGCTAATTTTCTGTATGTCGTGACAACAGGCACTAAGTCTTAATCGTGCAAAGGTGTGTCCCATTCTTCCTGATTAACAAATTGCCATCTTAAAAAAATGTTTTCCCGGCTTCAAATCCGGAATATGGTCGTCATTTCCGGTAGATTTCGTGTCACACGGTAGTAGTACAATGAGGGACTAATGTCCAAGTCCAAGCTTTTACAAGAATTGCACTGTCCACGTGATTCATTATAAAAGGTGCGACCAGCGACCGATTTTCTTTTCTTTCTTCAAGGCGTCTCACGCACCGACACGAATTTAATTAAATTTTGTCAAAATTATTTTTCAGGTGGCACGAGAAATACTGGGTAATAAAAGTTTCATTTCATAAAGTAATTTGAAAGCTGTAATTTTTGTCGTGTTTTAATTAAGATCTGTCTAGGGAACTCATCTACTATAAAGTGTCTTGTTTTAATTTTCTGTTCACTCATATTTCCACCCTTTTACTTTAGACACTTTTCTTTGAATTGATTTTACTCGCTGGAATTTTATTGCTTTCAGCGCTCCGACCTTTACGCCCGATCTACTCCGTTTCTTACAATCGCTTTGCAATAACTGCTGAAGAACTCATTACTGATAGCCTTTCTCTAGCACCCACATCCTCCAACTACATCGCACCAATTACTGTACTACTCTAGATTTACATACAAGTATAGTCGAACAGCTTGCGAGGGAATCTCGCCAGTTTAGTCATCCTCCCTTCGGGTTTTCGGTTCAATATTTAGGTGATAAAAATTCACGCATCTTAAAATCCATGTTGAAAATATTCAAATAGGTCTTTTTAAGGACTCCCACAGGGCCCATTGAGGTTGACGCCAATTTCTCTAACATGAAACAATGAGGCGACTTATGCCAAAGGGAACCAAAGGGAACCTACCTCTCTTAAGGGACCTTTTACTCCTTCACACCCGAAAGGGATAAAGATAAAATTCATTCAAAAAACACAAACCTTCAACTATCAATCGTGCCAATTTATTGTTTAGACGGCTGCTTTTAATTTTCTGTTAATGATGTGTATATTTTTACAGGCAATACGATGTACAGTTCCTAATTGCAGCTGTGAACGTTTTGTTCCTGGGAAGTGCCACCTACGCTACTGTGAAACTTGTAAACACGGTTGGGTTCATCACGGTGAGCACTTTTACAGTATTTTCAAACACGATACAGATTTATATTTTTTATAAACATAACAGATCCGTATGAAAATTTACGACACAACTACTGAACTAAACCAAATTGCACAAAGAATTGCCCGCTATTGAATTTAACAATGGACACTAAAATACCATTTTTATGCGCTTTAAACGTTGAATTTTCATGCAAAATATGACTGGTGTTAATTGAGTGTAAGAAAGAGAAGGAAATTTGTCAAGTTTGGAAGATCTATTAATTTGAATAAAGGAAAAACAAAATAAAATAACATAAACAATGAATTTGATCTATTTTCTCGAAGAGGAAAGTAGAATAATAGAAAAATTAAGACATCTTTGAATTAAAAGTGATTTTAAAGAATGCAAGGTTACTAAAAAAAATAGATACGAGAAATACGAAATTACAAACATTATTAATAATTCTTATTTTTTTTTATCTTAACCAAAAGTACATTATTTTTAATGGGTCACTTTTTTCTCATTTTTTTAATCAATATTGAGAGTGAAAAAATTTTTGTTCAAAAAATCGTAAAAACATCTTGTAGGAAATAGATTCCTGTTTTTGAAACTGTGCTGTTATTGGTTGATGAAATGATTAAAGACAAAAAGATCCTTTTTGATTAAAAGTCAAACATCTCAGCAACAAAATAAGGTAAAGAGAACATAAAAAAGGCAAATTGAAGCTGAATGAAGAAATATCRAGCCCATGCATTAATTTAACTAATAAAAAATTCTCCAAGTCTGTGGACCAAAAARAAAGAATAAAAAGATTTTCATTTTTTTTAGCGCTGCGTAATAACAATAGTTTGAAACTTCAAAACGATTTTTTTTTAATTTAAAATTTGACCATTTTTCATTGAGGTACAGGACAGTCTTTCAAAATTACCAAAAAATTTAAGACTTCTTTTTAAGAAAATTTACGACACAACTACTGAACTAAACCAAATTGCACAAAGAATTGCCTGCTATTGAATTTAACAATGAGCACTAAAACGCCATTTTTATGCGCTTTAAACGCCACTGAACTTTTGAGCAATCATTTATTTCGGTGATGAATTTCGAATTTGACACACTTTTCAGTATCTTTGGGAAAAATGAACGTTGAATTTTCAT